ATATATATTTATTAGTCCAGTAGACAAGATGTCAAAAAAGACAAAAACGCAGTATTGCAGTGTGCAATGATACCTTTCTTATTGGACTAACAAAATATATACAAGACAAGCTTTCGAGAGTGAACCTCTATTCTTCAGGTCAGAAGCAAAGGCAACAACGGGGATCAGAGCCGATTAAACACTGGCTCTCAGGGCAGAAGAGAGAACTATGGGTTCCAACCAACTAATCAATAACGAGAATAGTTGGCAACGATTCTCATTATCGAATAATTAGTTGCAGCACTAGACATTTCCAATGTATGCGTTTTTGTGAAACAGTTCAAATCAACTAGGGAAGCGCCGATACAAAGTATTTGGGTAATGACCCGGCTCCCTGATTGGCTAGGAAACCCGGCTCCATGCTAGCGGAAGTACCAGTTTCGGCGAGTACCGAAAGATAAATATATCGGTACTCATACATGGGTTCTGCCTTCCTCTTTAGCTTTCCGTCTGACCTCTTGTCCTCATTTATATTCACTGGTTGATTTGCTATGTATTGACTTTAAACTAATGTCGGCCCCAGGCCGGCGTGTGCCCGTTCTCCCCCCCACGCCTCTTTTTTTTTTAAACCTTGTTGTGTCTCCCCTTGTCGGTCTGTATGTGTTCCGCATTTTTTGATATTCATGATGCTGTATAGCTATGCTATTGTCTGATATTGTTCCCCAATTCCCGTTACGTGTCGAAAAACCCAAAAAACAATGTACAAAAAAGAAAAGGGAGGCGACCATGGAATATATTTAGATTGGATTTAGGATTTGCTAAATCAAAGACCACAAATAAAAAATGGACCAACAAAATCCCATACTGAGAAGTAAAATAACTTTACCTGAAACATATCTGTATCTTTATCATGAGAATATTCCACAACTACTGTCTGGCTTCGGGATAATGTGTAGGAGATGCTGTGTTGACCTCTACTGCTGAATTCCTGCAGAGAAAAGAAACGTTTTCATTGATCGCAGACCCTTAATGAGGCTCTTCCACAGCAAATATCAAGATTTCCTGAATTCATTCTCAAATAAAATTCCTTCAGGGAAGGGAAAAAAAAAAAAAGTGAAGGCTAACCGTTTATAATTAAGCCTTTGGCAGCTTTAACACATCTTTATGTTTTGATCATTAAAGTGAGAAAACACAGATATTTATAAATAGACCCAATTTTCATCTTTTATTCCATAAATACACCGAAATTCACAAATTTGCTATCGCTTAGCTCACACATTTGTTTTTGTTTATGTTTTGACCCCTTAAGACAGAACACCTTGAACTTCAGACGTTGACCAACTCCTAGCTGTCCAGGGAAGCAGAATCCAGATAATGGACACTATAAGCATGAAGCATTTACAATTTTCACATGCTATTTAAGAGCCTTTGTCCTTTATTTTTAGCTACTCACTCAGCATCTTAATCTCCCTGGCGGTCTGATTTTTATTTATTTTTTTTCCTTTTTTGTTCAATTTTTTTGTTTGTTTTTAAATTCCCACCCCCCTGTGATGGGGAAGCTCGCAAGGGGCAGAACCCAGAAGACTGATGCCGGCATCGGCCGGAGGACACAGAGGGGATCGTGGACAAGGTAAGAGATGCTACGCTGTAATCCCGAGTGTGGCTACCGCTTGTGGTACTGAAAATTACCCCCCCCCCAGCCACACTCGGGAATACCGCCAAAGAGGTTAAATAACCCCTATGCCTGTTGGGTATAAGCAAAATACCTCGAGAGGTTTCAAAGGTCTTTTTTTTTTTAACCTTCATCTGATTCTGGATCGAACCAATTAGGTGCTGGGATCAAACAAAAATAGAAAATTGATAGAATTGTCCCGCGTACAGCGCTCCTCGAGAGGGGGTCGGGGCAAATGGGGTGGCGGGCAGGAAGATAGAAAGTCATGAGCAAAAATTTTTGAGTTGAGGTTGTGGGAGAAAATCCAGTGATTTATACAATCTACAGAGGGGGAGGGGAAAGACAAGTTTTGGGTGCCTTGTGCTGGTGTGCGGCTTCTGTTTTCTCCGCACTGGGGTGACAAACAAAAACATAATACAACATATTTTATACCAGCAAATAAATAGTGAACATGTGTAGTCACCTTAAAATAAACTTTACCAACTCCAGCCCAAACATTTTTTTAGTTTTAACCACTCCTCCTGTTAGCCAAAACAAAGTTTTGCCTAGAGTTGAGCTTTGAGGGTTAATTTCAATGCTCTGGGTATTTTAGGATTATCTGTAGAGGTACTTTTTTTTTATAAACAAAAACTATTACTGTTAGAACTTTACAGCTTTCAGCTTCAGCTACTGAACTCTGTTAACAATGAGCAGAAAATAGAACACATGGAAAGGAGTGTAGAAGTTTCACCTGATGGCTGCCAGGGAAAAAATAAAATAATTTATCTGGCTGGAAAAAAAAAAAAAAAAATGGACACAAAGTTTTATACATAATTAAAAAAAAAAAAAAAAACAACACTATACATTGCTGAGCCTCCATGACAGGAAGAACAGGGGTTGTGCCAGGGGCAGTCAGGCTGGAGAAAAAAAGAGCTAAATAATTCTGGGTGTCCTTCAGCCAGCCAATGAGATGCACTATGACTTGTGGCAGCTTCTAGTTCACACTAGGAGAAGCTCACAGCTTGCAGTAAAATCACAGTAAGCACTTCTGGTACAGAAGAGGAGCCTATACAACTGCGCAAGACTGAAGGTAAAACTTGAGTTCAGCTTCAAAGAGCCTTTGTTTCCTGTGTCATCGATAGCATGGTGGAGGCAGGGTCACTGCAGCTATTTATGGAGTACATTTAGGTTTTGGCACTTTACAATGAATCAATCCTTGTATATTTCCTATCAGAATGTAGGTTTTCCTGCCAACTTGTCATGCTAATCTCCCCTCTAATGAGGTTACATCCAGAGAGCTAATTTAGTAATGTTTAGTGCAAAGTTCAGTTTGGCTCTCCCATGTGCCAAATCATTACAAATGTTAGCAGAAGTGCAAGTTGAGGAAATTAGGCTCGCCAATTACAATTATATATAACTGTATATTCATGACGACAAAGTGTATATAGTGTGTATGTATATTTCTCTCTCTCAAAGATAGCAGCCGCTCTGATCAGTTGGAAACTAGCAATAAGGGAAAGGTGCACATTGGCAGGGCAAAATACAAAACACGCAACAAATTCCGGTAGGCCTTATACCCTGAGTGGCCAGATTATTATGACCACCCCATAAGTACTTCGTTGGGCCACGAGATAACTCCACGAGATGTTGAAAGGTGATGCGAGGAATCTGACACGGCACTGTTGCCCTTCTGTTGTCTTGTACCAGTCTTGCCACTCTCCGTTCTGCCCTAACATTGACTAGTCGCCGACGGCCACAATTCGCACGTTCAGACCCAGATTTTCGGCTGACAGTCCGGTCTTTAAACACTTTAACAACAGCTGCTCTTGAACATTTAACGAATTCTGCTGTTTTGCTGATACTCGCTCCATGGCTCCGAACGCCAACAATCATCCCACGTTCAAAGGCTGTTAAATCGCGTTGTTTACCCATATCTTCAGAAAAAAAAAATCACTTCTACTGTCGTGGTAAACAACCTGCTTCCCTATTTATAATGGTCTGGCCCTCTAGCAACTTCAGCGCGGAATTATAGCTAATTTGTCTACAAGCGTCAGGTGGTCATAATAATCTGGCCACTTAGTGTATGCCACACTTTTACATTCTGGCTCTATGACTGCCACAAATTCAATAAGAAATACCGCCATATTGGTGATAAGAAAAGAGGAGGTAAATAAGACCTCTTCCATGTCGGAGTAAATTGGGTCACACGTGTATTTCTGTCTGAGTGGGAATGAGGTGCTGGACCACAAATTTTCTCTAGTGGAATAGGAGCAATATTTAGGCCTGTTGGCTTGTTCCTGGCAACTCTTCACAAAACATTTGAATTCATGTTAACTTCAGTGCACCAAATAAAAGCCTTACATGCACTTAAATCCTATTGCCAGGAAACCCCCACCAAAAAAAAAAAAAAAAACAACAACACACACTTGCAATGGGGCTACCCCTGCACTGCAAGAGTTAACTGCTTATTTTTTGCATAGGGGTATCGCGTAAAGTGCTTAACACAGCACCCCTAGACATTAACAAGCAGTTAGGAAAATTAGAGTTGTCAAGTAAGCTCTTCAAGCCCATAATGGTAGGCCTCTGTACAGACCTGGGGCTAGGGGAAGTTGTCAAGTATTGTGATCCTACACTGACCTGGGGCTAGCAGAAGTTGTCAAGTAATGCGACCCTACACTGACAGACCTGGGGCTAGGGGAAGTTGTCAAGTATTGTGACCCTACACCGACATCGCATTTGGTCTGGGCATCTAGGCTTCACGGACTTCTGACTTCTATGATTGTATATTTTGTATAACAGTTTTCATATCTTAACTGAACAAACTGAAGAGAGAAGCCGATTGGTTGCCATGCACGGCTGCTCCAGATTTTGTCTGCTACAGTTTTGGTATATTGGGGGGGGGAGCATTTATCTAAATAGCAAATACTGTTATATTAGGGACAGTCTACCTTCGTGACCATTTTTCATGTTACACCCACAGCCCTCTCCCCCTATGAACCTAAAATCGCAGGGTCATTCTACCTGAAGCATCATTTGCATTTTTTTAAATTTGTCAATCTAGGAGGAAGATCCCCACCAAAAAAAAAAAAAAAAACAACAACACACACTTGCAATGGGGCTACCCCTGCACTGCAAGAGTTAACTGCTTATTTTTTGCATAGGGGTATCGCGTAAAGTGCTTAACACAGCACCCCTAGACATTAACAAGCAGTTAGGAAAATTAGAGTTGTCAAGTAAGCTCTTCAAGCCCATAATGGTAGGCCTCTGTACAGACCTGGGGCTAGGGGAAGTTGTCAAGTATTGTGATCCTACACTGACCTGGGGCTAGCAGAAGTTGTCAAGTAATGCGACCCTACACTGACAGACCTGGGGCTAGGGGAAGTTGTCAAGTATTGTGACCCTACACCGACATCGCATTTGGTCTGGGCATCTAGGCTTCACGGACTTCTGACTTCTATGATTGTATATTTTGTATAACAGTTTTCATATCTTAACTGAACAAACTGAAGAGAGAAGCCGATTGGTTGCCATGCACGGCTGCTCCAGATTTTGTCTGCTACAGTTTTGGTATATTGGGGGGGGGAGCATTTATCTAAATAGCAAATACTGTTATATTAGGGACAGTCTACCTTCGTGACCATTTTTCATGTTACACCCACAGCCCTCTCCCCCTATGAACCTAAAATCGCAGGGTCATTCTACCTGAAGCATCATTTGCATTTTTTTAAATTTGTCAATCTAGGAGGAAGACTATAAGACTCATCTGCTGTGGTAGAGGGACTCGTAGATCTCAGTAGAGAGTGTTAGTTCATGAATTACGTCTTCAAGCCCATAATGGTAGGCCTCTGTACAGACCTGGGGCTAGGGGAAGAGTCTGCGCATTGCACACGAGAGCCACTGATTGCAGCTACAATGCTCTGCAGGCCTTAATACAAAGAAATAAAAATGAGCAAATGCACATTAACTTTTCCCCGAAAGGTGGACTGTGGGTTTAAAGACGACGTGGTTTTGACTATAAATAACAATATCTGTGCTAAGTATAACAAATGCTTCCAGGTCAGACTGGCGAATTCTGAAAGCTGAATAAATGAAACGCCTGAAAGAGCTAAGGCAATAATGTTTATGTGTAACCGATTCCTTCATAAATTATGTACCATCCACTCAAGCCCACCATGGGGAATTCATTAATACACAGCAATGGAAGGAGATCGATCGCAACGTTAATCCAGACACAGCAGAACAAGTTAAAGAATTTAAATAAAAATTAAAACAAATATATATATAT